TTGTTAAACACGCTTTTACAAAGAATTTACCACGTTGATCAAGGTTGGAAAATCTAAGGCTGGAAATTCAAATGTTGGAAAATTCAACGCTATTACAACCTGAATAATAGCGTTATTTAACACTGTTCTACTGGGAAAAATTCATTAAAAACAAGTGTATTTTTTAATCCTAAAATTACTCTCTTAAAACAGACGTGTTTTTGTAGCGTAGATTAAGCATTTATAAAAAAAAAAAAAAAATGGACATCACAATGAGAAACATTGAAAAAATAATCTCAAGTAAACTTGAGGAGCACAAAAAAAGTATCCTAAAAGAAACGGAAAGATTATTAAAAGACCAGGAAAAATCATTTACCTCAATTATCAGTGCAAATCTCAAAATTATTACAGATAGATTGGACATGCTAGAGAAAGACATTAATAACAACAAATGTAAAATATCAAATATAGAAAAAGACTTATGCGACATTAAAGACAGCCTAAATTTTCAAGAAAATGATATCTCGGAAAAAATATCACAAATAAAAAAATACTATGACAAAGAAATCAATTCATTATATAAAAAATCTATAGATCTAGAAAATAGATCAAGAAGGAACAACTTAAGAATTGATGGGCTACAAGAAACACCAGGCGAAAGTTGGGAAGATTGCGAAAAGGCTGTTAAAGCCATTTTCAAAACACTATTGAAAATACCTAGTGAAGTGGTGGTCGAACGAGCTCATCGAATCAAACAATTTAAAGAAAACAAACCAAGAACATTATTCTTAAAACTCTTGAACTACCAAGACAAAGATTTGTCTGACAGAAACTTGGTGTTCTGACGAATCAATCCAAAATAACACTAACTTTCAAATTCCCAATTATAAATTAATATCTTCTGAAAGAAAAAATGCAAAAAAGGATGAGGGATTGCAACTTATGTTCGGAATGATCAAGCAATAAAAGTAAGAAAAGACCACTCCATTACTAATGCCGATAGTGAGGTCTTTACAATAGAAATCGTAAACTCCAAGTTTAAAAATATTATTGTTTCTACCTGTTATAGACCACCTGAAGGTAATATTAAAACTTTTTCTGAATATATAGAAGAAATTTTTCTCAAAATCAAGAAAGAACAAAAAAAGTTATTCTGTATTGGGGACCTCAACATAGATTGTTTAAAATACAATGAGTTTCCGATTACTAAATTATTTTTTGATAACATGTTTCAACATTGTATTTTACCAATTATTAATAAACCCACACGGGTAACCTTAAATTCTATTTCTGCCATAGATAACATACGAACAAACTCATTTCTAGATACCTCCTTAAAAGCAGGAATAGTAAAAATTGATATAACAGATCATTTTCCAATTTACTTTACAATAAAAAATGATACAAGAGTAAATAATAATTTGAAAAAAATAACTTATAAAAGAAAAATAAATAAATTTTCAATTCAAAACTTTAAAGACACACTATCGGCAGTAGATTGGGTTAAAGTGTATCAAGAATGTAACCTTGGGAACACAAACTCTGCAGATAATACTTTTACAGATATTTTTTCTAAAGCACTTCAATAATCATTTTCCAATCAAAGAAAAAGAAATCAAAGTAAAATATTTGAGCTGTCCATGGATCACCAGCGGTATTAAAAAATCTTCAAAAACAAAACAAAAACTATACGTTAAATATTTGAAAAACAGAAATGAGATTAACCTATCTACTTATAAACAATACAAAAATCTTTTCGAAAAAATCAAAAAACATTCTAAAAAAATTTACTACTCTAAATTACTTAAAAAAACAAATGGAGACATGAAAAAAACATGGAACATTATGAAAGAAATAATCGGGAAAAAAAAACAAAAAAACAAATAGTTTACCAGATAGAATCATTATAAATAAAACCGAATACGATGATAAGAACTCAATTGCCGAACACTTCAATAATTTCTTTGCAAACATAGGCCCAAACATGGCGTCTGAAATTTTAACTACAAATGACTCCTTTGAAAACTACCTTACAGATCTAAATAGCGAACTAATTTTTAATGGACTAAGCTATGAAGAACTTGAAAATGCAAAAAACTCTTTAAAAATCAACAAAGCACCAGGAATTGATGAAATTTGTAGCAATGTAGTAATAAATATCTTTCCGATAATAAAAAAACCCCTCTTCGAAATATTTAAATCTTCAATTATAACAGAAACCGTTGCAGGAAAATTGCAAAACTTGTACCTATATATAAAACTGGAGAACCATATTTACTAAACAACTATAGACCAATCTCAATTCTTCCTGTATTCTCAAAACTTCTTGAACGAACAATTTATAATAAACTGTACATATATTTAACAAACAATAACATCTTAAATAAAAAACAGTTTGGATTTCAAAAACAACATGCAACCGAACATGCAATCATAGATCTTGTAAATAGCATCAACTACTCATTTGATAATAATGAATTTGTTCTAGGAATCTTTATAGATCTATCAAAAGCATTCGATACTGTTGATCATGAAATCCTGCTCAAAAAAATGGAAAAATATAGCGTAAAAAATGTTGCATTATTCTGGTTTAAAAACTTTTTGCTAAAAAGACAACAATGTTTAAATACTGATGAAAATATCTGTTCAAAAATGCTAAAGATCAAATGTGGCGTTCCCCAAGGTTCCATTCTAGCTCCCTTACTGTTTTTAATATACATTAATGATCTTCCGAAAGCCTCAAACAAACTTGATGTCATAATGTTTGCAGATGACACTAATTTATTTTATTCATCCCCGTCAATTACAGAACTTTTTGAAACAACGAATATTGAACTCGAAAAACTTAATAATTGGCTAAAATCTAATAAACTATCTTTAAACACAGAAAAAACTAATTACACCTTATTTCATCCAAATCAAAAAAGAAAAAAACTACCAAATATATTGCCATTGCTAAGAATAAAAAACAAAAATATCGAAAGAACCACAACAACTAAATTCCTAGGTTTACTTATTGATCAAAATATTTCATGGAAAGCCCATATTGACTATTTAAATACTAAAATAACCAAAAACATTGGCGTGCTATACAAAGCTAGGCCAATGTTATCCCAAGAAAATCTAAAACATCTTTATTTTTCATTTATACATACCTATTATACATATGGTAATATAGCATGAGCCAGTACCCATAAATCTAATTTAAAATCACTTTATCAACATCAAAAACATGCCATTAGAATTGTCTATAAAAAAGATAAACTCACTCATGCTGAACCTTTGTTTAAACTCCTAAATGCACTAAACGTCTATAGAATTAACATTTACCAAAACTTACTCTTCATGCTAAAATTTAAACTCGGGCTTGTCCCACCACATTTCTTAAATGAATTTTTTAAAAGCAATAAAAATAGATATGACACTAGAGAAGTAGGAAACTTTAATGTACCATTCAGAAAAACAAAACTGTCGCGTTTCACAATTTCGTTTCGCGGTCTCTATCTTTATAATAAACTGATATCCAAAAATGCCATTATTACAAAATTAGATAACATAAATTGTTTGAAAATCTTACTAAAAAAGTTTGTTTTAAATATCAGCAATTATTTTAACTTTCACTAAACTAAAACTGAAAGTAAAACCAAAATTTTAATTGAAAACAAAATCCAAAAAACTTCAATAATATATATTAATATAAAAAATCAATATAAGTCAATAATAATTATATTTATGCTTAATAATATATTTATGTGTACTACAAACAGTATTTACCAAATTTTTATTTCTACATTTTATTATATGTGAACCTAATATAAAATGAAGTATTTTGTGAAACTTGATACATTGTAAAACGAAAATACAAAAAATATTACAAGTACAAGCGGTTTCTTGATGACAAGACCATCTGGTCTTCTGCAAGTTTCCCGCGTTCTTTTAATATTAATGATACCCTACAATCATATTTTTTGTATTCTATAAAATTGTGATATATTTTTAGTATTATATATTTTAAAAACATTATAACTTTGTACCAATAATGTAGAATCCTAACATTATAAAGATAAAAGAACAAAAAAAAAAAAAAAAAAAAAAAAAAAAAAAATGATTTTTTTTTTACATAAACACGGATATTTTTCTTGTTAAATGTTTCAAAGTATATTTTAAGATTTTTTCAAAGTTTAATATGAGACGTTTTTCACGGTTTGTGTCGAATGTCTTATAATACGGCGAATCATAACCTACGTTTTAATCGTTTACACATTGCATTTGATCATGAGTCAATTGGAAATTAGATGACAATAAAAAATCCCTTAAAAACTTCGACAACGAACTATAAATTTGAGAACTTAATGTCACAATAAAATCTTTTAAATAAACAAGTTTCCAGATAACAATTGCAGTAATACTGCCTTTTCGCAAACTTATTTTCAAAATATTCTAATCGTCGATTAAATATTTTAAAAGGTTTTAAATTTATTATTCTGCTATTATTATACTTACTCTGCTTTTAAAACCAAATCTTTTTCTCGAAATCAAATTCAGAATCTTTTGATTTTCTGAAAATGTATTTTATGAACCATTTAAACACATATAGTCTAACTTAAGGTATGACTAATTTTATATTTTACCCGTTATAAAAAATAAACGGGAAACCTATCACTTGGTTCTAACTGAAACAATTCAAATTTAACACTGGTTCTAAATCAGGTTAGAAATTTTAAACTAATCGAACAAAATAAAATTTTTGTTCCATTTTATTCTTCAGGAAGATATTTGAGACGATATCAAACACAAAACTACAGCGAGTTTGAAAAATATATATGGCAATCGAATTTGAGCCAGGTCAAACCAGATCAATTATAAAAATCATATATTATGACAGGAATTTAACACATAACATATTACGACATAAACCTTACAATATGACTTTATAACACATAAAACGACAGTTTATAAAACTACGACACGTTTTACATAAAAAAGCTTTTAACATATGGATTCGAAGAAAAACAAGCACATTAAAAATATAACCAAAATAACATTCAACGTACAATTAAATGTTTCTTTTCGAAAATTATAAACTCCGTAAATGAAAACAAAGAAACTTCACGCTACAGTGCGCTCACTACATAATCGAGATTCCCGAAAAACGCAACAAGAAAACAAACTAATTAAGAAATGTAATAAAATTATTTTTGAGAGAATTTATGAAAAATTTATGCGTTAAAACAATTTTTCAAGGATAAAGTATTATGTAAAATGGAGTCTAAGGAGCTGAATCGAGGCCAATTGTTAAATGGCACTTAAGTAAAAAACCACCCTAAACAACCATTTTGAAGTTCTTAAAATAGTCTGTTCAGTTTATAAAATACAAATCGTGCTAGAATTTTACACAAATATTTTTCTATAGCTTTATGTTAAAGACTTGTAAAAAAAGCTTTCAAAAAATCAATAGAAGAAAGTACAAACTTTTATTATAGAACTTTCTTAATAAGTAATGAAAGTATTAGAAGATTTATGAAATTTATCTGCATTTCTTTATCCAAAGAAAAGTTTATTCCATTGCAGATAACAAGCTTGATGGAAAAAGCAATCATTTAAATAATTATACACTTTTTCTTTTTAGGCTGTTCTGGTGGTTCAAGGGCAGCTAGAATAGCTTCGTCAAATACATTCTTTAAACCTTTCTGTGTAAGAGCAGAACACTCAACATATTTTACAGCACGAAGTTCACGAGCCAATTTGTCACCTGAATCCACTGTGATTGGTTTTTGTTTCGTTTTAGCAAGCTTTTCAATGATTGCACCGTCATCACGTAAATCTACTTGAGTACCAACCAGTAAAAATGGTGTTTTAGGACAATGATGTGTGATTTCAGGAACCCACTAAATACATACATACACACATTTTTAATTAATTTACAGTAATTTTTAATACAAAGTTTTAATTGCTATTCAATAAAATCTAGCACAATGTTTTTATTTTTTAATAATAGATTATTAATTTTGAAATTTTTATATAATTTCGCTTCATTTGAGACATAATAAAACAAATATTTTGAAAACCTTTTTTTAAATTAATATTAGGAACCCATTGAATGTTCAGAGTCTTGAGGCACCCTCTAAAAATATTTTTTATTTAAAAAACTTTGAAACCCAAGTTATTTTATCATTTAGAACACATTAAGGTGCATGCTGCAGATATTTCAAAAAATAACAAAAATACCGTTAAATGAATATATGTATTTAAGAAATAAATGCTATTTAAGTACAAATTTATACTCCTTAGCAAAGTTTTGGAACTTGGGGATGATTCCAATATCTAGATCATTTTCTGCAGATAAATTTGTAAAATAGAAAAGTACATAAAATAGAAAAAAATTTAGATTTCAATTTATCAATAAAAAGCAATCATAACTAATAATGATGGAGCATCTGAAATAAAAAATTTGAACAATTAAGTGGTATCAATCATCAGCTGTGTTTACCCATGGACTTCACTAAGCAGTGTTTGGTGTTCTTTACAAAAAGTCAAACCCTTTAGAGACAAAATATATTGAAGGTGATACACAGTTGCAAGATTCTGATGACAATTTGATTGTCATCAAAATGATTGTGATGAGTATGATGATATAATTATACTTGATAAATTCAAACATAATGGCAAGTAATAAAGCTCAACAATCATTGATGATTTACAAAGTAGTGTAAATATTTCTTTAATAATTCAGAAAGTTTAAAAAGTTGATAGAATATTCCACAAATCACCTGTTAAAAATGAAACCATAAAATGAAATCTACTTTTAAAAATGAAAGGTACATAAAATGTATGTTTCATTAAGAACTTAAGCTTATATTGAATATAAAAATAAAACAAAATATTTTTTTTATAGTTGAAAGATTTCTTAAAATAAAATAACTTTTATACCAAGCTAATCATGGAATAGTCAATAGAAGTCATTATAATGAAAGCAGAATTTCTTCAACCAGTTGATGCTACGTTATTAGACAATAATAGTTTGACATTTGAAAAAAAATTGGACGCTACAATTTGTTATGTCAAGTTTTACTCATTTGACATAACAAATAATAGCATCCAATTTTTTTTTAAAAGGAGCTCTAGAAAACTTTTTTAAATAAAAAAATATTATAAGAGAAATTTACATTTTCAAGGCAACTGGTAAGAAAAAGCATAAAGAAAGTTTAGACAACATATGCACAAAATTAATGACCAAAAAGCCAACTTTTTTCTGTGACAGGACTATTATAGGAAAAACTGGTTCAGGATTAAGTAATAAACCATTCGATTGTTTAGGCTTTGTAAAACAATTTTTTAATAATTACAAATATGCATATATAAGACATTGTTTAGCTATACAAATTTTTATATTATTTTATCAACAAAAGTTTTTATTGATACTCGATAATTAAATACAAAAACAAATTATATGTTAACTACATAGATTATAAAGGCGAGAAATAAAATAACAATCGAAAAAAAGTAATTAAAGGTTTTGTATATAGTGTGAAAAGAATTAATAAATATAAATTTTATTTTTTTACTCATATTTCAAAAAAGTTATTACTTTTAAATATGCAAATGGATGTTTGTAGGTAATTGAAGCTTTATCAGAGTTTATGTTCAAATATTCTTGTTGCATAATGTCCATAAATGTAACAAGCGTTACAGCTAGGGTATATAAATTTGTACCAATGAGGTAATGGATCTTTTAATGAAAAAATGCTTTTTTTAAAAGATTTTTCAAAACTAATTTTAATGGTTTAATTACAATACTTTTAAGTATTTCTAAATTAAGTTGAAAATTTAGGTAAATTTTACCTAGAAAACAGTTTGAAATAGTGTCATAATTTTAGTACGTAATTTAATTTTATTAAATGAAATAAAATTGTTTGAAGAGGATTTTAGATGCGATCAATTCTTTTTAGCGTAATTTAATTTTTTCAATGTCTATAAAAAAGCTAACTTAATTACTAAATAATGTTTTAAATAGTCCAAACTTATACATAAGTAAATTTTAGCTAAATAACTTCTTATAAGATGATGTCTAATAATATAAATCGTGTTGATAAAAATCACTTGCCTTTTCTTTTACATTTTCAAAAGAAGATGGAGCCACAACAGAAAAACAAACAAGAAACACATCTGTTTGAGGGTAAGAAAGAGGTCTCAGCCTATCATAATCTTCTTGACCTATAAAACAAAAGCATAAACTAATAAGCAAACAAAACATTAATAAATAAACTTAATACAAGAAATATAAAAAAAAATTACTAATTAAAAAAAAATCACAAAAAAAAGAAATCAGGTTTTGGGAAAAAATCACGAAAAAAAAAATCGGAAAATATTTTTTCTCCCTGTCTTAAACACCCCATTCCTTTGAAAACATTGAACAAACTCCTTCACTCAATTCTGCTGACATACTTTTGAATCCTCCCTTAGTAAAGAGAACTTAAGAAATAAAAAGGGAAAAAGATATATATAAGTTTTAAACAATTTTATTAATAAAAATATTTAAAAAACCACATTTAATTTTATAAAGTGGGAAAGTTATTTAGTTGTTATTTATTATTTAGTTTAGTTGTTGACAAGGTCAACAAACCAAAATTATAGCACAAAAACAACAACAACAACAAAACAACTAAAAAATCTCTTTCAGGTTCATTTTTTTTTTTTGACTTCAACCCTTTAAAAATTATTGAATGATGAGTTATCTTTTACTTTTTGCATTTACGGAAAAATGTTAATGTTAGTGTTAAAAAAAACAATTTAAAATTAAAAAAAAAAGACACATTTGATTTCTGCTGCTAGAATTTTTCACACTTTTTAAATTTAAGTCTAGGTGTTAAAAGTTTAAATTATGCAGAGATTAAACTGGGTTAGAACTAGATAGACAGGATATTTTTGCCGGATAGTGAACTTTTCTCTTTTTTCAAGTTCTATAAGTGTTTATGAAGTAAAAACAAGTTTTGCCATTCTATATTAAATAGTGTTCAAGATTTAAAAAATAAAATCAATAAAAAACTGGTATAACACAGGTATATGCATTAATAATGTATAAAGAAAAATCTTTTTTTATAGCCAAAGTTTTGTTTTTTTTAATTACTATTTTCTATACTTTGTCAGCACATATACCATGTCATACAGTTTTTTACTGATTTTTTAAAGTAAGATCTTGAATGCTATTTATTGTAGACTGGCAATACTTGTTTTTTCTTTATAAACACTCATAAAACTTTAGGAAAGTCCACTATCCGGCATATCCTGCAAAAATATCTGCTAATCTAAAAACTTTTTGTCTAAAAAAAAACAAAGAGAAATCCTAAGAGAGAAAAAAAAAAAAAAGAAAAAAAAGAAAAAAGTATTAGCACCTAATATTGACTGTCAAGAAACTGCTGAGTGACCAAGCCTTCCCAGGAAAGACGTGCAATTTTTTGTCACGATTCGCATCACATATAATAGCTTTTACATTTACACTGACTGAATCAATTATTTGACTAGTTAAATTTATCTGTTCAAACAAAAAATCAAATTTTGATATTGGTATCATTTTAATTTATCATTCACCTTTGGACCCCATTTAAACAAACAACCACAATCCCTAACAATGTTTTGGACAATTCCACTGGGTTATCCTCCGATCTACCAAAAATAGTTCCACCATGGTAAAGCAAACTTTTTTAAACATATATTTCATCATGTAGTATGATACATAATTTCTGCTTATCCGGAAGAGAGTTAAAAATTGAATAAATTTGTTTTCATTAATATTAGAAATTTTTGAAATAATTCGAGTAAGTGTTGAAATAGATAGAAGTTGATAATCATTTCTTAAGTGATTATAATGCCCTTGATGTTAAAAAATATACAAAAGAGATCTCCAACTAATTCTGGTCCTATAACTGAAACATGATGCATAATTACTTCTTTTTTACCATCAATTTTCAAAGAGCTTAAAAAACGAAGTATCAAACTTAGACCAAGAGTCAACAGTTATGATTCTATTTACTGTTAAGCTAGAAATGTGACAATTAATCCCATAATGAAATGTTTCAAAGGTAAGATTTTCATAAATTTTAAGTACAAAAAAAGGTATTCCATTAAAAATTGCAAATATTTTATAACAACATAGCCATCAACCATAAACAATATAACTGGATATTGGTGATCACTGCTATCAATAAACTTGTTTTTAATGTCACAAAAAATAGCTTTATCCCTTTTAAGAAATGTATTTAGCTCATCATCTAATGTACTTCTAATGCCACTTAAAGATCATTCGGTAGATCTTTTAGTTGGATAAGCAGTTGGAATTTGATATAAAGGTATTCCTAGCCAAACGGAAGGAGGATTTTTTGTTCGTCGCTTTCCTCCACGCACTATAACTGTATCAAAATTTGGAGGCCAATGTAACTCACAGATAACAGTATACTTGGTAAAAACAAATTAGAGTTTGGAATAGCTTTTATCCATTTTTCACGCTTAACGTTATCACTTGGAAACTGATACACTAGTGTTTTTTTAACTTCACTAGATATTTTGTTTTTTTCACTTTGATAGTTGGTGTGACAAGCATACACACAACATTTATTTGGCATGATAATTTAATCTAAATTTTATAAATATATTATTTGCTTTGAATTAAATCTGAAACTCCATGTTTAAATTATATAAGTTTATTAACATTGTATTATATTCCATTATTTAAATATATATCATAAACGACATGATATTGTATCTGGTCTGAACGTGGAGAAATAATTTTTTTGCCGTAAAAAAATATGCCTCCACAAAAAAAATCTAATTGCACGATGAATAGGCCTGTAGTAGAGAACGCTATGCCATGAGCACAAAATAAGGTTACTAAATCTGTATTTCTTATTAAATCTTTATAAATTTTAAAGTATCTCTAAATCTGTCATTTAAAATTATCATAAATAATAAAATTATACAACTAATTTATAAATAGTATGCAATTTTGCAATATTTTTTTATCTGCTTTTAGAATTACCAAAGTTTATATATTAAAGATGTTAGGGTAATGAATTATGTTCTATTTTGTAGATGATTTATTAAATTAGTATCTAAACTGGCTTTTTATTTTAAAGAAGCTGACAATGGCTATATTTTAGATTTAAGTAATTTATAATATAATTATACATAAAATATAAGTATTTTAGATAAAAGTTTTATTCTATTTAGATATATTGTATTTTATTTATATAGATATGTATTTTCATTAGACTTATATAATTTTGTCAGATTTTATATGGATCTAATTATTATTTTTGTTTGATAGTGATATTTAAAGGATTACTATATTTTAAGGCTATATTTTATTAAGTTTTGTTTACTTGTAAAAACTTTATATATATTAGATCTTTTTTTTATTTATTTAAACTTCAAAAAAATATATTGTTCAAAATATTTAAAATTAAACTGCAATGTTTTAATTTGTGTTATTATTTTTATTGCAACAGCTAAACAAAGCATAAGTTTTATAAATTATCTTTATATTTAGCGTAATTTTTTTAATGATAAATAATGCTAGGGAATTTTACGATAACTAAGAATCATAAAAAAATAGGTTTGAAAGTCAACATTAAGTGCTATTACTTGACGTCAAAGTTTTTAAAAAATGTCACTAAAAAGACTAATATTTGCTATTTTTTTCTAAACCTTATAAAAATTAATTACAATCACCTTGTGTATTAAACAAAGCTGGTTTCCATCAGCATTAAATTTATAATTTAAGATTGTAATAAAATAAAATCAATTAAAGATGTTAAGTAATGCTCGAATGTAGAACCTAAGATGAAGACTAATGAATAAATGATTTTTATCATTGAATAAAAATATATTATCATTAAATAAATAATTATTATTGGAAATGAATAAATAATTACTGACAATGGATATTTATTACAATAACGCTTTGTGCTAACTGGGGTGTAATATTTTTTAGAGTTACATAATTGAAATAAAACTTTGATTAATATATTTATTTAACTTTTATATTAGGCAATACTAACAACATCAGCTTTTTTAGAAAAAGAAAAAAAAAAGAAAAATATTAAAAGAAAAGATTTCTGCTCTAATCCAAACCCTCAGTCCATGTAGCAGCACTCCTTTACGACAGCAGGCTATATGATAGTCCATGTACTGAAACCCTTGGCAACAGGTTATTTTAGTATGACACCACACTGCTTACAGGCTTGGTCGGGAAGCGGGAGCGATCGCTCTCGATTGCTGACCACGTAAATAATATTTAGTTGCGAAAAGCTGGCCAGATTTTTTAGCTGTTTTGAGAACATTTTAAAAAGCAAAAAAAAAAAAAAAAAGCGACTAAGATTAATTGGACCGATGAGAGACAGTTACAAAAAAAAAAAAAAAAAAAAAAAAAAAAAAAAAAAAAATAGTCAAATAAAATATCTTTAAACGCAAAAAAACTTAAAGCTAAATAAATTACATTTAGAACAATTATTTTCGAAACATTGCTCTTTTACAATTTTTTTATAAAATTAAGCGATGTTTTTTATATAAAGTAACAACTTACGATTGTTTAAAAGAGAAACAAATATTCTTTATTTAACTAAGTTTGCAAGTTTTAGTTTTACTTAAGCTTAAGTTATTTTATAAATAAAAAAGTTAATTTTTTTAATACCTATTTTATGTTTCGCGTAGTTTGAAAAGTTTAACATATTTGAAGCGATTCTTCTTAGTAAGATAAACAAATGAAATAACTAAATCATTGAATTACTATAGGAATTAAATTATCAAGATAGAAATCAACTAAAAAGGTTAAAAATACTTAATGACCAGGAAGCGAAACTGTTTCTAAATATCGCTGATGATGTTTAGCGAGTGGGCTTTTTAATTTTAATTAGTATTTAAAGCAGAAAAAAGTATAACAAGTTTTAAAAATGGCAACTTAAGCGAAAATAATTTAGTAAACCAATAGCTAGAAACTTTTCTTTATATCTAATTTTTTGGTATATATATATTTGTGTTCTGTCGTGACCTCAGGCGCGATGCTTGTTCATCCGCGAGTTACTTTTTATGCGTTGTTTGTGTTTAGTAACCAGAAACTTCTTATATATTTGTTACATAATTAGTTTTATTAACTTTAACGATTATAACTTAATTGAAAACGCAATTATTTTTGTAAGTCTTTGTTTAAATCATGAAAATTGCTTTAAAAGATACATTACGATAAAAAACAAATACGCAAAATTACATTTACATAAAGAATACAATCTCTTTTAAAATAAAAAATAAGAATATACTAATAAAATCTATGATTTATAATAAACTTTTAAAATTTTGACAACTTATTTAATATATATTTAAAACTATTATTTTTGTAAACAAATAATAAATATTTTTAAAACAATTTATGCTAGAAATCTCAAACGTAACAAATCGCGATTAATACAAATTCTAAAACATTTCAACAGAATACTCTAGAACTTTATTTCGCTTAATTAGCGTATTTTTTGAACCAATAGAATTAGTTTGTTCGTTAATTTGGCGGGTTTTTAGTGTTCGCAAATATTCTTTTTATTTTTGCGCTCAAAGATGTTTTGAGAGCATTCAAGTTTTTTATGTTTCCATGTATGTCCGTAAAACAAAAATTTTTTGTTTCGTACATAAACTTAAATGTTCTCAAAACGACTAAAAAACCTGGCCAGTTTTACGCAACTAAATATAATTTCCGTGGTCAGTATTCGAGAGCGATCGCTCTCGCTTCCCGACCAAGCCTGTGCTTATCAAACATGCATTTACAGTTATATATATATATATATATATATATATATATATATATATATATATATATATATATATATATATATATATATATATATATATATATGTAAGAGTGCATCAGACGCCCATACTTTTTAAAATTGATCTGTCCCTATTCTTAAAACTTTCTATTGGTACTCACAAGACTGTTAAATTTTTTCAAAATTGAATAAGATTTAGGGGGGCCACCTCAAATCTGAAACTTGCGACGAGATCCTAAACAGAAAAAAAAGTTTTTAAAATATATGTCACAGGCTTGGTCGGGAAGCGGGAGCGATCGCTCTCGAATACTGACCACGGAAATTATATTTAGTTGCGTAAAACTGGCCAGTTTTTTTAGTCGTTTTGAGAACATTTAAGTTTATGTACGAAACAAAAAAATTTTGTTTTACGGACATACATGGAAACATAAAAAACTTGAATTTTCTCAAAACATCTTTGAGCGCAAGAATAAAAAGAATATTTGCGAACACTAAAAACCCGCCAAATTAACGAACAAACTAATTCTATTGGTTCAAAAAATACGCTTATTAAGCGAAATAAAGTTATAGAGTATTCTGTTGAAATGTTTTAGAATTTGTATTATTCACGATTTGTTACGTTTTGAGATTTCTAGCATAAATTGTTTTAAAAATATTTAATATTTGTTTACAAAAATAAATGTTTTAAATATATATTAATTAAGTTGTCAAAATTGTAAAAGTTTATTATAAATCATAGATTTTACTAGTATATTCCTATTTTCATTTTAAAAGAGATTGTATTCTTTATGTAAATGTAATTTTGTGTATTTGTTTTTTATCGCAGTGTATCTTTTAAAGCAATTTTCATGATTTAAACAAAGACTTACAAAAATGATTGCGTTTTCAATGAAGTTATAATCGTTAAAGTTAATAAAACTAATTATATAACAAACATAGTTACTAAACACAAACAACGCATACAAAGTAAGTCGCGGATGAACAAACATCGCGCCTGAGGTCACAACAGAACACAAATATATATAGCAAATAATTAGATTTAAAGAAAAGTTTCTAGATATAGGTTTACTAACTCTAATTATTTTGCTTAAGTTGCCATTCTTAAAACTCGTTATACTTTTTGCTGCTTTAAATACTAATTAAAATTAAAAAGCCCACTCACTAAACATCATCAGAGATATTGTAAGGCAGTTTCGCTTCCTGGTCATTAAGTATTTATAACCTTTTTAGTTGATTTCTATCTTGATAATTTAATTCCTATAGTAATTCAATGATTTAATTATTTCATTTGTTTATCTTACTAAGAAGAATCGCTTTAAATATGTTAAACTTTTCAAACTACGCGAAACATAAAATAGGTATTAAAAAAATAAACTTTTTTATTTATAAAATAAATTAAGCTTAAGTAAAACTAAAACTTGCAAACTTAGTTAAATAAAGAATATTTGTTTCCCTTTTAAACAATCGTAAGTTGTTACTTTATATAAAAAACATCGCTTAATTTTATAAAAAAAATTGTAAAAGAGCGATGTTTCGAAAATATTTGTTCTAAATATAATTTATGTAGCTTTAAGTTTTTTTGCGTTTAAAGATATTTTATTTGCCTATTTTTTTTTTTTTTTTTTTTTTGTAACTGTCTCTCATTGGTCCAATTAATCTTGGTCGCTTTTTTTTTTTTTTTGCTTTTTAAAATAATCTCAAAACGGTTAAAAAATCTGGCCAGCTTTTCGCAACTAAATATTATTTACGTGGTCAGCAATCGAGAGCGATCGCTCCCGCTTCCCGACCAAGCCTGATGTCATGTTGGGTCTCAAAAGAAGCATAATTTTATAAAAAATTTTAAAAACAAAAATTTTACATAATATCTATTATTATAAGTTTTATTGCATAAAAATTATTTTTTAGCAAAAAATTAAAAAAAGTCATTTTTTCATGGTTTTTGGTCGAAATTTTTTTTAAAGGTATTTTTAACAAAAAATCATGACTGTTTTTGAAATTTTTATAAAGTTTCGCTTCTTATGAGACCCAACATGACATACATTTCTCGTTGCAAGTTTCAGACTTAATATGGCCCCCCCCTAAATCTCATTCAATTTTGAAAAAATTTAACAGTGTCTCGTGACAACCAACAGATGGTTTTAAGAATAGGGACAGATCAAATTTTGAAAGTATGGGGCGTTTGATGCACCCTAATATATATATATATATATATATATATATATATATATATATATATATATATATATATATATATATATATATATATATATATATATATATATATATATATATATATATATATATATATATATATATATATATATATATATATATATATAATAATATATATATATATATAATATATATATATATAATATATATATATATATATATATATATATATATATATATATATATATATATATATATATATATATATATATATAATATATATATATATATATACAAATAGTATTGCGTACTTTAGTAAGCAATCTGACATCATACTGAAATAGCCGGCTGCTGGGGGCTTCAGTACATACAACGACTGACAAATAGCCTGACTCGCAGTAAAGTGCTGCTACATCGACTGAGGGTTTGGTATGGGGAAGCAATCGCTTTATTTATCATTCTTCGTTTTTTCTTCTTTTTCGAAAAAAAAACGGTTTACCTTAAAGTAAGCACAAAAAGTGAGCAAATGCTTATCAAAACACGCTTTAGTAAGTGTGTATATATATATATATATATATATATATATATATATATATATATATATATATATATATATATATATATATATATATATATATATATATATATATATATATATATGTATATATATATATATATATATAAATATATATAAAATATATATAAAAAATATATATATATAAAATACTTATATATTTTTTAATAAACTGTACTTGGAAACTTAAATTTTGGTTTGACACAAAAAAAAAAAAAGCACTGATAAAGTAATTAACTTTAGTTTTTTCAACTCTTTTTTTTGCAACAAGTAATATTTTTGTTATAATATTTTAAATTTTTATTTAACTTTTTAAGTAACATCACCATATAGAACCTACAGGAAGCAAAGTTTTATAATTTATTTCAAATGTTTATGCAAGCAAGAGTATCATGCGGTAGTGGTAGAGCGCTTACCTTTAAAGTTCTTAGTTTGATACCCACCATGTCTCTGGTAGTACCATGCTTAACTTAGTTCTCTGCTTAATATTGGTAGTGGTTTAGTAGTAGAGCGCTCCCCTTTTAAGTTCTGAGTTTGATCCCTTCCACCTCTCTCTACTAGTACCACGATTTTAATGAACCTATTCTAATGGTTCTATCTATCACCTTCAGTGATATATATTTTATTATATATAATTCATGAAATTGGTTAAAAGAATCTTAAATTCTTTTAACCAATTTCATGAAAAAAAGATTCAAATGAATTTATAACTCAAATTCTAAAATACAATCTAATAAAATTCTAATCAAATTCTAATAAATAATTTAATTAAAAAAAAATATTTTTTTAGACCAAATTTGAAGTTTCCTTGAGATAGTAAAATATTAAAAATAAGTATACCTGCAGTATCAAAAAGGCCTAGAGTATATGGTTCTCCTCCAATCATAACTGTAACAGCATAGTTATCAAATACCTTTAAAATAATGAATAAATACAGGTACACACACAAAGTTTAATATTTTTAAAGAGTTTTATAATTATAAATATATAAAATTGTGAGCAACTTCTAATTTTATTTATTTTTACATTCTAAAGTTTAAACTAAAAAAAAATTAGTACAGTTAAAAAAAACTTACTGTAGGAACATATTCACTAGGAAATTTATTTGTTGTATATGAAATAAGTAAACATGTTTTACCAACAGCACCATCACCAACTACTACACATTTGATAGTTTGCATTTTTTGATCTTAAAAATATGAAAGTGTATTCTATTTTAATTATAGACCTATAAGAATATTTATATACACTTTATAATTTAAAAATTACTACTAAATATAATAGTTAATATATATATATATATATATATATATATATATATATATATATATATATATATATATATATATATATATAAGTAATTATTTTGCTTGACACACATTTTTCATTTAATTGGTTAAATTACACACACACACACACACACACACACACACACACACACACACACACACACACACATATATATATATATATAAATATATATATATATATATATATATATATATATATATATATATATATATATATATATATATATATATATATAAAAATCTTTTTTTTGTATTTTATTTTTAATTACAGAAACAATTCAAAAACCAATTCAAATTTTGTTATTTTAAATATAAAAATAAATTATTGCATTATTATAGCTATAAAGAAATTTTGCTTTTACTGTTCAAGAAAATAATCTTAATAACCTCATAAAGCATAATACATTTATTGTGCAGTTAGCTAGAATTGTATTTACTTTTGTACATTTATGTCTTGACACCAAAAATGCTCAATCTGCTTCTATCTTTGTCAAACACTCGCTCAGGTGTCAAGTCTCTGACTATATCTAATTTGAATAAGATCAGTTCTCTTAGAACTTTACTGTTTCAAACCTTGAGCAATTTGATTTCTTTATAGTTGAACCATAGTTGAACTATGTTTAACAATGCTATCTTATAATTTTGATAATATCCTCACTTCTTAATAAAAATTCATTCATTGATCTGAGAAAATTTTTTAATAGAAACTAAACAACATGCTTAAGAAATAAGAAAACATTACTTTTGAAAAGTTAGCAAAAATATCTGTGTTGTTATTTTTATTTAGAATCTACCATCCTGTATTTTTTAAAGAAAAACTGATGTTAGATAGAGTTTGTTTTTTACTAATTCGTTTTAACAATTCAATTTTAACATCAAGTGCCAACACGACATTGACACAACGATTTAACTATAAATATTGTGTGAAAATTATAAATATTGTGTGAGAACTATAAATTATTATTTATCTTTTATATTATAAATTTAAAAATTAATCTAATCAAAAAATGCAAGGTTTGCAATGTAAAAATTTATAAAAAATATAAAAATTTATATAAATATAAATATTTATTTGTTGAATTAATAAGCAAGTTTTTTCTGAAAAAAAAAATTATTTTTGGTAACCAGAAAACAAGGTTTGCAATCACTAATGAAAGTGTATAGAAATGTAGTTTAAAAGATAATTTTAATTCAAGTTCTCACATTTGTTAAATAAAGTTATTGAAATCTTTAAACAACTTTCAAATTTCAACATTTAATTAAAAAATTTAAAAAAGAAATACACACAATTAATTTTACTAAACAAAAAAAATATTTGAAAAATTAATCTTTATTTAGTTGCAAATAATTTTAAATATTTTAAAAATCATTGATAATAAAGGTACTTGTGTAACTCTTTAAATATTGAATCACTTATTTTAATATTTTAATTTAAACTTCAAAAAAACCTGTTACCTAAATAGTGACTTTTAGCAACATTAACTGGGTGATTATAGTTTTTTGATTATTATTAAAGATACAATAAAATAAAATTTCAAGTATTTACAACCACAATAGTTAACAGTTTTCACTATAAAAATTATAATTTTTCACTAAAAAATATATAAATATACTTAAATATATAAATATACTACAAATAAATACATAAAAATATATATACTGTTTTTAAAATCTAAAATATCCAAAGTAAATGTTAGTTTATTTTATACTTTAATGCATTAAAGCAAACAAACAAACAAAAAAATAGCTTTACACTGCATAAAAACTTTTAAATTATATATTAATTTATTTGGAAATATATTTTCTATTTTAAATAAAACATTTGTTTTATTGCTTTCATTTAACAGTAGAAAATTATATTGATACAATATATATATATATATATATATATATATATATATATATATATATATATATATATATATATATATATATATATATATATATATACATATATATATATATATATATATATATATATATATATATATATATATATATATATATATACTAAACTTTTCGATAACAATGTAGCTGTGAACTTAGTTACCCTATTTTATAATAGAGTTGAAAGAGTCGACACGAATTGGCAAAAGCCTTTTAAAAACTTCATACTGCTGAGTAACTACATTTTTATAAGTATATTTCTTGAACGAGTTTGAAGTTGGAACAATCGAAAACTTTTTACAGTAAAAAAATAATGAAAAAATTCTTTAACGAAAAGAAAATAGCCTTAGTTATATTAAAACCAAAATCAAAATCAAATCTCTGAGACAATCTTCGTAAACGGGCGGTGGTTTCTCAGGGTCTTTGACTATACGCATGCGCTAAATTTAGCTTTACTCGAAACTTCATTATTGAACTCAGTTTGACTGTCAAACAGCAATAACTTTAATGTATTTTTTCTGTATAATAAGCTCCAATATAAAGTTAATCAATTTATTCAAAACAAAAGTCTAGTACAATCACACTAACAACCATAAGTCATGTTAAAAAATATATATCACTTTGTATAAACATCGAATTTCTGACTTTTTTCGGCTGATCTGGTAATAATACAACTTAAATTATACTATTTTGGTTTAAAAAAAATGTTACATTAGCTAATATTCGAAAAAAATAAAAACAAATATGCATTATAATAATGTTTTTAAGTTTGAGTGTTTTAAAACAAAAATTAACTCACTATTTTGTATTATTGGTGACTTGATTAGACTATTTTTAGAACATGAAATTTGCCGTTAAGATAAATACAAAAACAAATTTTGTTCGGTAATTTATGCTGACAAATGCTGATTTAGCAAAAAATAAAAATAAAAAATACCTTGTGAGAAAATGAAAAGAAATTTATTCATGTAATTCTCGCTTCTGCAGTGTTATTATTAGCTGTGTTACATTCGGTGGCAAAATTTTCCCGTGACCAGCGATGTTATAGTAAATTTTATTAAGAAATCCTTATTACTAAAACCCTTTTTTTAAAAATAAAATAAATAGAAGTAGTTTTTTGTAAAAAAGAGATGCATATAAGTGCGCATACACACACACTTTTTTACAAAAAACTACTTTTATTTATTTTATTTGAAAAAAAATTCAAAGGCGATCACCAGTTAAAGTATTTAAAAATTATTAAGGAAAAATCTAATGTTCTAGGCAAGGGTTTTAGTAATAATGATTTCCTAATAAAATTACTATAACATCGTTATATATATATATATATATATATATATATATATATATATATATATATATATATATATATATATATATATATATATATATATATATATATATATATATATATATATATGTATGTATATATATATATATATATATATATATATATATATATATATATATATATATATATATATATATATATATATATATATATAATGACTAGAAAATTGTATTAATTTATAGTGTTTTTGATTTTTTAAAACATATTTTTAAAACAAGCGCAATGTGCTAATAAATAAACTATCTTATAGCCTGCTGCTGTAAGAAATTGCTACTATATTGACTATTTTATAGCCTGTTGCTACAAGTCAGTGCAGCTACATCAACTGAGAGTTTAGTTTGGGCAAGCAATCTATCATTAAAAAAAAAAAACTTTATTTAATCTTTCAAAGATTAAATAAAGTTTGTTGAACACTTAACAATATTGTTTTGACTAGAATATTGAATAGTGTTCAGTGATTTAGTGTTATATTATAAATTCTTGATGATAAAGTGATAAACTTTTTACTTAATTACATATTTTCTTCATTTTAAGCTTATTATTCAAATCCCATTGTTATCTCAACAGTGCTAAGTATATATATTTATATATATATATATATATATATATATATATATATATATATATATATATATATATTTGTATATATATATATATATATATATATATATATATATATATATATATATATATATATATATATATTTGTATATATATATATATATATATATATATATATATATATATATATATATATATATATATATATATATACACACGCATATATATAATGGTAAATAAATCTCAAATTCATTTTCTATAATGTTAATAATTTTGATCTTTGAATAAGATTTTATAGTTTGCTTTTTATTAAAGAAATTTATTTCAAAATTGATCCCATTGTAAAAACATATAGATACAATTTAACATTTATTTTATTTTTTACTAAAGTAAAACCTCTATAGATCTAAAAAATAACTATAAATCCCCATCAAATGCATATTACAGTAGGGCGTCAGATTGCTTAGCTAAACATGAAATATAACTTATATACAGTGGCTTTATTATGACTTTGTATAAAAATGTATGAGTAATACTGTACTCTGTTCAATAGTACTATACTCTGATACAACTCAACATTTCTTTTATTATATATTGCAGTAAAATTTCTATAGATCTAAAAAACTACTATAAATCTCAGGTAGCTGCTTGTTTCAGTAGGGCATTAAACTGATTAGCTAAACACACAGTATCACTTATTTACAGTGGCTTGCCATACTATTAGATATAATGCACTAAAATTAATATTTCTCTGTTATTGATTTTTGTGTTAATTTTTTTGAATTTTTATGTTCTTATTTTTGATTTTGGAACTAGAATAAATAAAATCCTATGTTATAATCAGTTAAAAAACTTAATTTAGCTTAAAAAAGCAAAACAAAATATAATAGGGTTTATAATTAGCATTTAGTATAGTGCCTTTTAGCTGCAATTGAAGAGCTTATTTTCAAAACGCAGTAAGCACCAATTTCAAAAAAACTGCTTTAAGTGACTAATTTTGAAGAGAAAATTAAATCCTTTCAAGTCATGTTTGTAGCTAATTAATTAGGCTTAATTTTTTTTTTAATTTAGGCTCTAAAAAATAGTTTATTTTCAAAACGCAGTATAATTTTTTTAGTTTATTTTCAATGTGCTGTATATTTTTTTGACCAATTCGTGCTTATATAAAGTTACTCCACGCAAGCGCAATAAGCATATTTAAATAATAATAATAAAGATGGCTGATTTGGATGGCTTAGATGAAAGTGTTGTGTTAACGTTAAAATCACAAAAAAGAAAAAAACAATGTTCTGGAAGAGAGAAAAAAAAGTTATTTAGACATTCAAGTGGAGGAAAAGTTCCTTCTATATCATGTAATCATGTTTCAGGTTCCTGCGAAGTGAGTTTTTTTGGTTTTATTGATCTTTGTATGTTGAAATTTATAATTCAGTTATGAGTTTAAAGTTTTAATATACATAATGTAAGATTACTTGGCATAGTTTGTGTTTATGACAAAATAATCATTTATTGATTGACTTATTTCAGGCTCGAGATATAACACAGAATAATTTGCTTAAAAATCATACAAAATTCTATAGTATTGCAAGTAAAGTATTACAAGATGCTACTATACTGTCAATGCTTAATTTAATCAATGTGAAAAGAGTTGGAGTGAAATATAATAATCAAAAAAAGTTTAGAACTAAGAGTATTGAGTACTTTTTATGCTGCAAGGGAATTAAAGTACAAGTTTGCCAAGCTCTATTTTGTTCAGTATTGTGTATAAATTATATATACTTTACTTTTAATTCAGAAATAGAATATATATTTTGTTAAAAAAAAAATTAGTGAGAAAAAGTTAATATTTTATTAATTTATTCCAGCCATAAAACCTGATAGAGTTTTAAGAATTGCAAGACACTGGTATGAACATGGAACTACCAGACCTGAAAATAGAGGAGAAGACAGGAAGAAAGTAGCTTTTTCTGTAAATAAAGAAGCTATTAAAAACCATATTAAGTCTTTTACTTACAGAGCAAGTCATTATGGAAGAAAAGGTGCTCCAGGATGTAAATATTTGCCCTCTGATTTAAATATAAAGTGATGTTCGAACTTTTTTTGGATAAAAACAGTACTTAAACTGTAAGCTACCATTATTATTATGGGGTATTTATAAAAATAAAAACTGCTTTTTTCATTCTTCATCAAAGGAAAACCAGAAAATTTTATAGTCTTCTCAATGATATTCATCCAAATGAGATCACTATCTGTTTTGACATGATAAAGAACCTTGAACTACCAAAATTATCAATTGGAGAAGCCTACTTTTCTAGGCAGCTTTTTTTTTTATGTCCTTGGTGTTGTTATTCATAAAGGTGATAAGTAAAACATAAGGGAAATATTTAGACCATTACAAACGTTTGGAATTAAATAACTGTGTTAAACTTGTTAAGAAAGACGATGTTTTTCGTCTTCTCGATCTTGTAGGAGTAGAAGGCAGAATACAAATGTATAAAACACTACTCTGTAATGCCACTAAAAATGATACTAACCTTAGTGAAGAAGATAGTTCATAATTTGATTTAATTGTTTTTTAGCTGTGAATTTTGTAAACATGTTTTAGTTAAAATTTAAATATTTTAAAAAATCTCCAGTATAACATGATTTATTTTGTTGTTTTTTTAATTTATATTATTATGTTATTAATATCTTATATATTTTTATAGTTGCACTTGTGAATTGTTTAAAAAAAGTTGCTAATTTTATTCAAAGGAGAACAAGATTTAATTTAATTCAAAGGAGAAAAAGATTTTAAGGTAGATCTTAGAATGCATAAGAAAGTAATGTTTCATTTTATCATATATTGTAGTCTTATTAATAAAGTACATGTTTAACTAAATCAATAATAACTTATTCCAAAATACTTAATTTCTTTATGCAGGAAAAAAGTTTAATTTACTAAAAACCAAAAAAATGGATTTACAGCGTTTTGAAAATGAGCTCTTCAATTATGGCTTGAATATCTTGCTAAACATGCTAAAAATACAGTTTTTAACTGTTTTCTAGGGCTTATTGATTCAACATATATAAAAGCTTTTCTACAGCTTCTCTGCATCTTCTCTTTGCATCTGTAGGTGGCAGTCAGCAAGGACCTTTTTTTTTTTTTTTAGATCTTTGTTGGTTAAATTTTATTTTAGGCCTTACTCGGCAAAATAGCAGACAGGTCAACCCTGGGCATAAGTATAAATAGAATAAATAAATAGAACAGAATGATGTTTCAAAGCCTAAAGTTAAAAAAGAAATAGACAATGAAAGCTTTGATATTATAGGAGCCAAAAAATTTAATTAAGGCAACTTTTAATATATAATTTTTGTTATGCTATGTGCATATAAACTCAAGAAATACGAGAGGAATTGGTTAATAAAGAGATCTAATGAGATTAAGATCACTTCTTTCTACTATTTTCTGTAACTTAATAAAAACAAAATTTATTATTGAAAATAAAGAATATGTGGGAGGTGTGTATCAGATCAGCCATGACCTGTATTTTGGATCTAGAATTTCTTGTCCAGATAACCTAGTTATTTCTAGACTTTTTATTTTCATTTTCTTGTTGTTATTGTATAGCATTATTATTATTATTGCTATTATTATTATTATTATTATTATTATTGTTATTATTATTATTATTATTATTATTATTATTATTATTATTATTATTATTTATAATATTATTATTAACATTGTTATTATGAAACAAAAAAAGTTATATATATAAACATATATTCTAAATAAAGAATATATAAACATATACTAAATTAATTTTTTTACAAAAATCAGTTTTTTAACATAAAATACTATGCCTGATTATCTTGGTTCTGATATGAGAAAGACTCGTAAAGATAACGAGAAAGACAATGATAAACCAATTCAAGGTAAATGGAGTTTTTATTTTCAAATTTATCATTTCTAGAAAGTCTTGAAATATATTGTTCATATCTTTAATTTAGCTCTAGATGAGGGCGATATTGCAGTGCTAAAGACATATGTAAGAACGTACTTAATTTTGTATAACATAAATTAAATTTCATTTAAATTCTTTATTCATATACAGATACAGATAAGGGAAAAAGTTTTTTTTTTAATTTTACATGAATATTTTTACAATTATATATATTTAATATAGAAGCAAATTTTTATCTTTTTATTTTGTAAAAATATATAAAAAAAATTTTAAAATTACTGAAATAATTGATTTATAGTTATTTAATGTAAATAATAATAACATTAAATTTAGTATTTCAGGTAAAAATTTTATTTATAAAGTTATATCTTTATATTTCTTAAAAAAAAATTTTAACTTTTTTTATTTTATATATATATATATATATATATATATATATATACATATATATATATATATATATATATATATATATATATATATATATATATATATATATATATATATATATATATATATATATATATATATATATATATTTAAAAATGGTAACGAAACTGTTTTACTTTTATATATCAATAAAAACTTTATATGCAGCTGTATTTTATACAAATAAAATTATCATTTTATTTTAAGAATAATATTAACTATTTTTAATTGTTATTTTTGTTTTAGTTATAGACAGTTTAAATAATTTTATAGTATATTTATCACCATTACATTTTAAGTAGATACAGACATTGGTCAGTATTCTGTCAGTTGTAGTGTTTCTGACTAGCGTTAATAATTTTCTGTATTAAAGTCAGTGTAAACTTGAAATTAGTTGATTTGATGTGAAGTTTTTTTCCGAAAATATCTATCAAATCCTTTTAAAAAGGCCCTTAATTTATATATATAAAAATACCCTTGTATTTAAAGATTTATAAAAACAACACTCATGCTTGTATGCAGTAATAATAGAAAAGTTAATCATTGCATTTATGCATTTATAATCATATTTATGGTAACAGTAAAAATGCTATTCATTAAGAGTCTTGGCGTGTGCAGATTTATTTAACATTATTTTTTTTTAAGTTTAAACTGCTTATTGTTAAGTATTTCTAATAATATTTATAATTTATTTTTTGATATTTTACATAAGTAATTTTTTTATAGGGCGCTGGTTCTTATAGCAATGCAATTAAATCCGTAGAAAATGATATAAAGTCAATTTCAAAACGTGTTAATGAATTAACAGGTATGATTTTTTAAATAATAGTAAAATATTTTTTAAAATTGTGTTTAAAAATTTCAGGTAGCAAAAATAATAAAAGTTCATTCTAACAAAATAAAGTCGCCATTTTAAAAGCATTTAAAAGCTATTCACAATATGGTTATGGTTATGTAGTACAGTGAAATAGTATAACAATTGTGCAAAAGTGGATAAAAACATGAAAACCTTTTTTTACATGTTGAAAATAAGTATATAAATTATTTAAAATATGTTGGCACATTCAGTTTGACAAAAGGTATATTATACTAGCTAGAGGTTGATGCATGCATACTGAAACCTACCAAACAGGTAATACAGTTGACTGTGTAACATGTGTGTATATGGTCAATTCCATACATCACGCACGTCACTTTTCAGATGTATATAAGCTCAAATTTTATAATAAAAAAATATAGAGCACTATTAGATGCATAAATCTGTTGCTAAACATGACTTTTACAACATAAAAACATAAATTCTTTATTTTAAGTATGTAAAACATTTAATTTATACACATAATGATGGTCACACACATCACTTGAATTGGATAAGTCATAATTTCATCAAAAAACACTATTTTCCTGAGCCGTTATAAACACTATCTGTGTCATTTTTAAGCGCAATATACTTGAATCTATAACAAAACGGAAAATGTTAAAAAAGACACCAGAATGTGTAGTACATGAAAGTGGTAATACATTTTCCCAAATTGTGTACTTCACGCATGTCACATTTTTATCTATCACGCACGTCACATTTCAGATAAAAATGCTATATAATTTATTGTTACATTTATAATTAATTGTTTGCAAATCTTATGTTGTAATTATCCCACAAAATTATTAGCAAAGTTTCATTGATGATTCCATTAAATTTAACAAACTAGTATACATATATGAAACGTTTAGGAAAAAGCTTATGCTTACTTTACAAGCAAATAAACAACACAAAAAATACAAAAACAAATCAGCGCAAATCAGGAATTGATGATAAATCATCAGAAAAGTTATAGATTGTACCACGTATTACTTTTGGAATTACAAGTGTCTTAACAATGTCACTATTGGAGAAAATAGATATGTCATCAACAGAAGGATACACAAATTGCTGTATTAAAGTTCCATGATGCCTCATACACTGGATGTGCCAGTTATCAGGTGTTTTTTGCACACCAGAGACCACACTGCCCACGTAATGAACATATTTATCCAGAGCCTTGCCTCGGGACTTAACAAGCACTCGAACTACCACATAATTACCATTTTCAATACCTCTTTAAGAGAACTGAGGCAGCTGTGGAATTTCATCATCTATATCATCTTGAAAGAGGTCTGCAGATGGTTTTAAGGTAAATGAATTTCCGGCACTGGTTGTTGTACTTTTAATGAGGCTTTGTGCATTAGTTGAAGAGTTGACCTGATTTGAAAAATATAAAACATGATTAAATGCATCAAAATGTTTTAAATGAATAAATAAATTGCTATAATATTTTGTATTGTAAATAAATTCAACTTCATAGATGTTTTGGACAATTTTTTATAAATAAACAAAATAAAATAATTTGTTTTATAATTACAACTAACATATATGATTGGAACATTTGAGTACATACCTCAGAATCAAAGTCAAGCAAGTCACACTCATACTGGAGTTGAGGTGGATGAACACGAAAAAGTCTGACACCTTTATCATCACAGTCCCAATGATGATCATTAGAAATTAAATGCACTTTTTTGGCTGATAAAAATACGATTACCATCAAGCAATTCAAGTGCACTTTCTTCCTCAACTGGGCTTGAGAGAATAACATGTATATTTGTTTCTGTTGCTCTGAGAACTGTCACAAAATCCTTTGCATTAAGAACAGAAAGAGCATTTCGTGTCATTAATGCATGCCACACCAAGCGTTTGGCTGTTCCACCAATGCCGTCAACAGCCCCTTTTCCATGCGAGGTAGCAAAAAATGACCACCTGAGTTTTTCAAGGTGAAAAGCTGCCCTAATATTGTTGAGCAATGCAAACATATATTTGTTTTTCATTTGTGAAGCTGGTCCATCGCTGAAGATGTCAAGATGCTTGCAAGCGGAGTTGGTTTGAAAGTAAGTTTTTAACACCTGTACAATCGAAGCTGTCACTGTGTTTTTGTCATGAGTGATGTTATCAGAAATCACAACAAAGGAATGAGGAGATTGAGATGTGCCATCCCAAAGACAAGCTGTAAACAGAGATACCTGGCTTAATATTTCATTTATTGAGAGCATGTAATTTGTTAAAATATTAACATTTGATGCATATATAATATAGCTTTACTCGCCTCAAGAAGGCTAATTAACGACTGAGTCACAGTCACCTTAACAAATTGTTCTCTGCCAAGAAGCTCATTTGTCGTTTTCTGCCACTGACTAACGCTGACCATTATTTCTTTATTTTCGACTGCAAGGTGCTGAAAAGATGCAGTATTTTGGCAGAATGTGCATTCATTGAAGAAGCACTTTTCTGATGGGTTGATACAAATAGCATTGACTTCCGTCCACTCATTATCGTAAAGAGGAATGGATTCAAAGTATGGTACTAACACATTCACTACATGTATAAAGTTGTAGTGAATAGAACAGACACAGACATTGTGAGGTGTCTCAGCACAGAGTAAAACATGTTTCGGACGTAAACTAGCAAATTTTGATTTTCCAATTTTTACATTTTGTACGACTGTTGAAACTGCTTGTGAGCCTCTCTTCATGTTAGCTGAAGATGTCTCTGAAAAACATACATATGTATGAAAATATATAACATGTAAAACAATGTGTTCCTAAGTTAATTATCTCATAATCATGTAGCCAATTGACTTATCTTATCCTCAATTTTATCTACCCCTATACAGTTCCTACACGTTACTTCGTTATATCGATATCGTTATACTTGGTATATTATTTTGTAATGAAATGAATACATACCTTTTGAATTAATTTGTCACCATCTTTAACAAAGTCTCTTTGTCCTGGTGCCATTCTTGAGATATCATCCTCTTGAAAAAAATTTATCACAAGCTCTACCACTTCAGGAGACAAAGCATTTGAACGGTGTGACACAGTAAGATTGCTGGGAGACTTTCCTAATAAGTGTAGACAAACGTTATGCTTGACAAATGCATGTTTCCTTGGAGAATGAGACATTGTTGAATTGACTTGAAATAAAACTCTATTGATGGCACGTTTCTCAGCACTCTTTGTCTTGTATGGAGTTTCTTTGTGTGCTTCTATTGACTCTTTCAATGCTTTTTGTCTTTGTCTATATGCTCGCATCCTTAATTTACCTTGTTCACGCTTCTTATTCTGCTCCTCCTCATTGTAATTTGCTCTGTCTCTTTTACTAAAACTGTTTAATGGGACTGGCCTGATCTGTATGAGGAAGATAAATTTGTTGCTTTGATAGGTAGTTTTGCAGCATCTAGAGTAGATAAAGCTCTTTTATCTGCATCCCATATAAAACTTGTTGAAATGTATATGAAGGTTTCTTGTACTATCAGGCATATGATTCGAATTGTAATTTGCTGGATGATGATGTTCAACTTTTGACTTTACTAACTGGTGCATAAAGCAAATTGTTCATTTACAGTTTGCTTATTAGAGTCCAATCAAGGAAATCAAGCTCATTCTGTTTATCTTTGTCATGCATCTGCATACTTCTCATTTCAATCTATACTTAGATAGTTTGACAAAAATGGTACCATCAGCCTAGGAAAGCATGGTGTGTGATCACATGCTGTAACTGACCATGCTTATAATTTTTTTTCTTCACAATTTGACCACTGTTATTGTGAAGACTTTAAATTAAATAAAAAATTATTTATAACAATTGTTTAAAATAAACGAAGTGTGTGTAAACTAACAAAAAAATGATATATTAAAATTTTTTATATGTAGGCATTGTCTTTTTTATGATAAATTTAAAAGTTTGAAACTATTTTTTTATGTCTTTCTAAAAATCTATTTAAAGATTATTCTTTTAAGTGACTTTAAATTATAAATAAGTTAAATTAAATATTTTCATTGCAATGGAATGCTTTAATTGCTTAACTTTTTTTATTTCTATTTTTAAAAAGAATTTTTTAAAACTTTTTGTAAAAGCGTAACCTTAATAAAAAGTTTCTAAAGATAAGTTTTAAAGTAATTTATTTCAAACGCAGTTAAAAATGTAATTTTTGCAAACAAAAAACAAAAAGTAATTTTTTTCGAGTTCAAGTTTTTTCGAGTTCAAGTTTTTTGAGTTTTATTTTAGTGCTTATATATTTTCTTTTTTGTAAGGAATTGTTTTCTTTTTTGTTTAGATTTTTTTTTTTTAAATTTCTTCCTAGTTTAAGTTTAGTTTAGCCCCTTTTTTTTCGGCGCATTTCTAAAGTCATTTCTAAAAAAAAAAAGCAATCATGGTCAAGTTGCCAAAAAATTAAATCATTTGCGTGATTGCACGCCTTTCCTATCTAAGCCTGTACCATAGTTTTTTAAACTCTGTAGAATGTATTGTTCAACCTCAATTTGCTATCAGGTCTGTAAGTGTGCCCCTGAAACGAAACAACTTATCTGTATTTAAAACTAGGCAATGGCAAACTTATCTAACAAAACCAAATGCTTTAAATTAACTTAAAGTGGCAATGATTTGTTTTCTAAGTTATACATTGGTTGCTAAACTAGTGGTAAACATTGTTTGAAATTTTTGGAAACATTTTTGGGCGCTATCTTAACCTAGCCTAAAAGACTAAGGTTATAATATAATAGTATGCCATCTTTACCTAGCTTTGTCAAACAGGTTGTGCAGCATGTTGCTGTAAATCTTCTTTGCAACTGTGAAGAAAAGTGTACCAAAGATTAATTTTTAAGTTAGTTTGAAAAAATAAAATAAAGTGTTGCTCTGCCAAAGCTGGTTCACAGCCCAGTTGTAAAAGTAGGATGACTGGTAATACTTAATCATTTACAAACTCTCTATAACTT